CTGAAGCTTGGTAGCGATGTGGTTGCTGTGATTTCAGTGTTGGTGAGATCCATGCTGAATTTGACAAACTCTGGCGTTAAGAAGTCAGAGCTGTATTCCCCACTGTGGTAGCTGTAGCTCTGAGAGGCAGGACTGGCTCCTTGTGGCGATGACCCATACTGAGCTTGAACACAGGGCATGGCTGTAAATGAAAGTTCTGAACATGTACTCATACCATTTAAATGCACACGACCAGAACTATATCATTTTGCTTCACACATTCTAAGAGCACTGTAGGAATCTGAACTAAATGCCTCGGAATCACTTTGTTTAACCCCTTGGATATACTTCTCAGGGTGTGCGTCAGAGATATGAGCTCAAGACAGTTTAACGCATTCACAGACTATGATTCTTCTTTGTAAAATTATTTGTCACTTTAAAATGAATCATTCCAATATTCAGCCCAAGTTTCCTTTTGTTATGTAAGTATTCGAAGTAAACACAAATATTTGTAATGTACAGTTTCCCATCAAATTTGCAACTATTTAAAAAAGAATTATGAAACACATGGGCAATAATCTTCATAATTGACGTTGAAGAAAAATGGCAATATAATTGAATTGAAATAATTTGATAAAATAAGTCCTAGAACAGTCGTTTCAAATTAACGTACCTTCAGCAAGGTGGCTGTTAAAGAATTGGAAAGTAGACAGTGCTGTGATTTGAATTCCCGAAGACTAGAATTCGGGGTGATTTTTCTCAAACGCAATTCTGATAACAGTACAATGAAATCTTTTCTGAAAACAGATAGAAACAAATAATCACTGACCACACCACGCCAACTCTTAGTTGTAATAGATTGTCAATAATTGTATTCCAGCGACTTTCATTGGACACATAGCATACCATTTTACCAGTTTCAAGTAACATCTTCTTTGCGACTCTTTATTTCAAAAGTTTATTTAATTACGCCCTAATGTATCCTTTATACAGTAGGTTTCTACGACCTCAATTTCTAGCCCTGATTTTTGTTTTTATCTTGCCTCACTCATCATCCTCTGGAGCAAAAGATCACATTTGCTTAAATACATTTGTGAATTGTCTATGTAGTTTTAATTATAACTGGATAACATTAATGACATTCTCACCGTCTCTGTGTACACTGGATCACATTTTCTGGACAAACCAATATACCAACCCAGAAGGACTAGCACAAAACATGCGAGAGAAAGTGAGCACATCTAAAAGAGATTTGGTTCGAAATAATGTTATAGAAAGCATGTGTTTTGATCTAAGTTACGCGGCCTTAGCAATACAAAGTGCTCAAAATGTTAAATTTACAGCTTTGGAATGGTGCGTGTGGAATATTCTGTCCATTATGCGGAAAATAGCTATATTGAGAATACTCACGAACAAAACAGATGGATAAATAGACAAATCAGTCAGATAGATAGACACAGAAAGGGGGAGATATCCACCATTAATGCAAATTGAATTATTTCTCTGCATGTATAGGAGGAATACAGTCAGACACTAGACAGATACATGACCTTTAAAATATATTGATGCATGAACGTTCGCGAAAGAACATGCATTCAAAGCTCTTTCTCTAAACCATTTTGGCAGTTGTTTTCTGCTATGATTCCCAGAAAGAGTCAGAACCAAACAGTGAAAGTAATAACCACTAGCTTAACAATAACTTTTTAGCAACGCGAAATATATGTTAGATATGTGTTGCGCAATTATCCATTATTAAAAACTAAAAACAACTTTTGAAATGACACTCACAACTGTGTATGCCTGAACTTACAATTTAACATATCCGCGTAGCTCCACTTGATAATTTGCGGGCTGTCATAATTTCAAAAGATCAAGTAGATCTTAGGCTACATTAGACATTATACTCGCTAAGATATAGAGAATATTTTTCCCATAACTAACTGCGAACATCTAACTTTCTGTAAACTGTCTCATGTCAGTCTGTAAATCTTCTGGACTGCAAACCGATATGTACACATTGCAATGTGGGCTTCGCCATGGTGGGCGAGGTAGTTTGTTTTTTTTAAGTAAATCATGCTGCTGGTCGCAAGAAATGCACGTGTGAATGAGATTCCGCTATCGCTGATTTCGTCCAAACAACTGTGGCAGAGCACCAGGTGGAACGTACAGGTAAAAACAAAACCACGCGGATCAATATGCACATTGCCTACAACTTCCAACAGGAAGAGCAGACGATCCAATCATTGTTTTAAATTATTATCAGGATGTGCCTTTCACCTGCTTAATGACAGCGCTGGGAAGGGTCGGAACAGTAAAAGCTCGAAGTCGATAACTGTTGCCATAGTTCTAGAATTGGCTACTTTTCTCCAGTAGTTCACAAGATAAACTAAACCATGGCAATCGGAACAACAGCGGTGAACAATATCGGGACATATTCGCATAAGCACGCATCATGAGACTACTCGAATAATTCAATACCTACTTGTTAAATGTTTACTTCCACTTCTCATTTAAATACGGCAGATCACAGGGTGAGTAGAAACTCAGTTCAACATGGAATGAACTTTGAAGTGCAGCAGTGTGTGGTTTAAGTAGCGGCAGCAGCGGTACAGGTTGCTGTTCTCCGCACTCTGAGCAGGCGATCAGACTCGGACTGGCCCTACTCTCCCAATGTGCCTTTGTTTATGTGAGCTCCTCTTCCACCGGCAGCTCGTAACCAAGTCTCCGAGCGTCAGCGAGCGTCAGCGTAGCCAAACCCAATGAGCGCCCGAGGGCTGGGCCCGCACCACACGGTTGGCTAAGTCTCACTTTGGTAAATTTCCGAGGTGACGTTAACGCTTTGGATTTTTAAGGTAGTTGGGGCATGACTTGAGGCAACCTTCTCACCTCCTCTTTCAGCATTTCCAAAACAACACGTAGTTGGAATATTCGCCGTTTATAGCTTATCGATCTTATTGATCACTTATTTTGGATGTATTTTATCACGGTAAACTGCGTACTTTTTTTTATTTCCAGTATATTTATTCCATTATTAACGATGTGTTTTGTCAGTTCTTGTAATTCGGTAGAGCCCGCAAGGGAAACTGGTGAGTGTAATAGCTAGCATTGAAATAAAATTCCCATGTTTGCTTTAATCAATTGACATTTATTCGTTTAAAACACACGTATTTTAAGGATCAGAGATAATACGAATCGCTTTAAGGATCGCTTGTTTTGGATACCGGGAGAACCGTCCTGTTAATCGAATGTAAAGCTTTAAAAACATCAGGAGGTATAATAACTTCGGGTTGCCGGATGCGTGGGACAATAAGTTTCAGTTGTATAGATAAAATGCACGTTTTAAAAAGAGCTGCACTGAAAATAGCGAAATTGGATATTTAACATCGCCGCTCTGCTGCAGAACTAAATATAAAAGTCCAACAATTGCGTGTATATTGTATACACTGCCGGAAATAATGTTGAGAGGGTGGACGGCTCTGGGAAAAGTCTGGTGACTACCTTTAATGATGTAAGGCGAGGAGCGGACAGAAGGAGCTTATTAATCCGGCCTGTTGCAGAACAGCGTCAGTGATTCGTGGGCGAAACAATTTAATGAACGAAGGGAAAATGTGAGCGGCTGCGCACCGGGCCCAGCAAAGTGCCGTGTGACGCAGGAACGCTGCCATTGACGCAGAGAGGCGGCTCGGCCAAAAATAGCAGGTCTGGCACAGCACTGTCAGTCTGCAAGTGATGCACACAGGGGCAAGGCTTACTCCGGCTATTTTAAACCCCGTCGGAAACTCGAGAACACCAAATTAAGACATTGTGGATATTTTTAGAGCTAGTACTTTAGCGTAGGGATTTTATTTTTTTTACACGGGGTCAAGTTTGCTTATATGTATTTGCAGGCACATGCTGTTGGTGTACTTTATGTCGACGTTTTCTTGGCCACGATTGCGTGCCACGAATACTCCACTTTTGTCAAACTCACAATCAAGCAAGTCGTACAGTTTACCGGTCGATTCGCCTTTAATCACTATCCATATTTACTATCCTGGCACCGTACCTTCTCCACCTGATGCATTTAAGGTAACAATTGTCAAGGGATATAATAATTGATTCCCCCCTACCCGTGCTTTTATTTTCGAATAGACTTCTATCGCCAAGCCCCACTTCAAAGTAGGTTAAAAAAAAACAAAACAATTGAAGTAAAAACGCCCATTACGTTCCTAAATGGAAATATTCTTGGCAGGTGGCATATTTCCAGTGGTTGACCGCTTTGCAGGTTCTTCATTTGGCTGGAAACAGTTGTATTCAAATAACCGGAACTGTTGCAGTTACACGTTTCAACCAGGAAGAGGCAGGCGCCCTCAAATCATATTCCATCAAAACAATACATAATTTTCTCAAATAAAATTTACATATAAACCCAAATAGGTCAATAGCACATCTAACTTAGTCACACCGTTACAGCAGTTTGCTAAATTATAAGCCGCCTCCACTATGCATCAAGGATTGTTATCAACTAGATCAAAGGCAGCAGAATGGATTGCACATTTTCTGGAATTATTAAAAGAATAATTTAAGGCTTGAAGAAAAACATTAATTACCTATTCCAAATTGATACCTATTGATCCAAATCAGATTCCATGAAGAGAGTTTACAATGGTAACCAGGATACAATTTCTGATCTTGTTTTGTCTGAAGCTAATTTTTTTTTGTATGTAAGGGCTTGTTAGGGGTGAGGTAAAGAGGAAAGTAGAGACACATGACACAGTAAAAATGAACAAAACGTTTATTGTTAAATGAACAGTACAGCTGAATTGCAAACTTACTAAGAGTCAGAGTCAATCAAAAGCAACTTCTTTAGAACCTTGTAATTCAAGTATTCATATGCTTGTCACAAAGTTATTTTATTTTTCTTTAGTATTTAATTACTCAAAAGGATACTTGGTTTCTTAATTCCTCATGATATAAAACAGATCCTACTTAGCAGCAGCACTGGTAATCAAATTTCTGATGCGGTTGATAAAAATGACCCAAGTAAACCAATTATTGAATCATATGCAGGTGACTATTTTAGATTATCACAACCATAAACAAACAATAATTTTGTGGCGTTCAGGTATTTTGGAAAATTTTAAATTGGGAAAAAAATTAAAATGGTACTGAAAGTGCCAATATACATTAAGCTTCCATTATAAACCAACCCCAATAGATAGTACTATACATGAACTTGTCTGCAAATGGTTTAGTAATTTCCAACTGATGTAAAATGATTCCCAAAACTATGAATAGAAAATTAAAATTTCAACTGTTAAAAACAAAAAAAATTCAAGTTTTTTTTGGGCAAACCACCCACAGATTGTCAAGAAAAGCTGGACAACATTCAAGGAAAACATGTTGGGCAACAATTCTTGTGCCTTGAAGTTATTTGCAAAAATGTGACATCTAATTTGTCAGCTGAAATTTAATCCTTCAGTTAGTTAAGTGTATTCTCATAGGCCCTCTCACTGGTGTAGGGGTAGTGTCCCTGCCTTTAACCAGGGAGGCCTCAGTTCAAGTCCCACCTGTTCCAGATGTGTGTAACATTGCTTAACAGGTTGATTAGAAAATTGGGTTAATTTTTAAAAAAAAAAAGTAACAATTGAATTGGCACAGGCACTGCATAAATAGAGATACTTTGAAAACAATAAAATGGCCTACATTTGGTGCATAATCCAAGGGCATTCCCCTCCCAAAATTAACCAAGTCTTGCTAAAACAGACTCTCAGATAAAATTTAAAAAAAAAGGTGAACCATGAAATCTAAACAGAAAATGAAGGAAATATGTTAAATTGGTAATTTGCACAGTCTCATCCCAAAAATGTTCAGTCTAGTGGTTGAATGACTTCCTCATTACATCCATGAGAGTCAATGGTTGAATAAAAATCTTATTTCACTGTTCAAAAGAAGCAGTTTACGCATGCTTTTAGGAATTTTAACACAACAATGATCTCCTACCTTCAGAGGCTGTATCCATAATATTCTTTCATCTTTATCAAAATTGGTAGTTTCACATGCAGAGTTTGCGGAACTGTCACTTCATTGTTAGATTGGCTACATTTAGAATAATTTTTCCTGTCAGATATTTTCCACCCTCATTCCATTTCCTCATGACTCTTATCAAAATCTGCCCAACATTTGAATATTTGTTGCATATCCAAGACAGGCATTGCAATCATCTCTTTTACAGCATTGATCAGAACTATTAAATACTGATTAGTTTCAGACTCGAAAATACACTATTCCTGTACCTGCCAACTATGGAAGAATATCCAAGCCTTCAATAATATCACCCAACTCCATCTCACTTTAACACACTGAGCAGCTGAAATCTTTTGTCCATGCTCAAAATTACCTCAGCTTGACTCCTGACCAGCTTTCCATGTTCAATCCTCTCTAAACTGGAAATCACTTAAAACTCTCCTGCTTGTGTCCCAACTTGTGCCTTGTTTTTTTTTTTTTTTTTTAAAAAAAAACTTCCTATCATATGCTGAAAATCACAGCAAGTCAGGCAGCATCCATGGAAAACTTCCTGATCAACATTCCATTGCCTAAGTGTCTTGATTTTAAAATTCTCATCCTTGTTGTCAAACTCCTTCATGATTGTCCCTCAGTCTCTGGAATCTCATCCAGGCCTACAACCATTCAAAGCACGTGCTCTTCCATGTCTGGCCTGAAATAGTGGATTTTAAATTGTTCCACCAATGGTGGACATGCCTTAAGTTGCATTGGCCTTAACGCCAGAAATCCCTCCCTAAATGTCTCCACTTTTCTACCTCACTTTCTTCGTTCAAAATGCTCCTTAAAAACACGTCCGACCAAGTTTTATGGTCATCTGCCCTATGATTTCCATATAGTGCCATTAATGCACTGAAGATACTTCATAGGAGCATCAAAGAACAAAATAAGATACCTGGCCACTTGCATATTTATCTGTTCACAGGATATGGCTATCACTGGCTAGATCAGCATTTCTTACTCAATTCAAGGAGTATAGCCAATAAATGCAGGTCCACCCAGTGATGCCCACATCTAGTGAATACTTTTTTTAAAAACAAAAGTTCTTCATATTTTTATTTATAATGTTTCTGTGAAATTCTGGGACATTTTAAATATATAAATATAATGCCATTGTTCAACAAGTCTGCTTTTTCTCATTAGTGATCAATAAATCCTTTCCTCTTCTGTTCTTTCTACAGCACCATACACAAAAAAAAAAATCAGTACTTCCCAATTTAATTGCTTTTCTTTCTAAACTTGGGTTTGTTCAATACAATTCGCACGAGTTTCTCAATTTTGTTTTAAAATGAAAATTAGTAAATATATGAAAGACAAGTCAACATTTTAAGATGAGGCCTTCATTCACTGCAAGTTTTCATTTGCAACATTAACTTCTGCTTTTCTTTCAGGTGATGACCGATCTGTTGTGTATTTTGTGCAAGTCAGTGCAGCACTATTGTAAAAACTGTACAAATCATAACATACAAGTTGATCTATATAAATTAGAAAATTTGAGAACAAAGTTTATAACCATAATTTACTTTAATTTTAAAACAATTCTACACATCTGTCATAACTTGATTTCCTTTTGAAAATAAGTATGTCTGATGTTAAATAAAACAAAAAGACTGCAGATGCTAGAAATCCAAAATAAAAACAAAGTGCTACAGAAACTCAATTAGGTTTGAGTGTATCTGTGGAGGGACAAACAAGAATTAATGTTTCAAGTCTAAACACTTTTTCAGAATTGTCTCTCTCCACATATGCTACCAGACCTGCTGAATTTTTCCAACATTTCCCAGTTTTATTATGTTGGATGTCTATTTGGGCTTTTCAGTTTAATTTAAAACCAAAAATTTTAAGATTTAAATATTTTAAAACTTGCATTCAGAACCACTATAAAATAAAACAAACATTCTGTTGCCTAGATGTTTTATTCACTTAATGATATAACCTGCAGCTCAATTATTAAATTAGGAAAACACGGCGGCAATAAGATTAGTATTGAAATACACTTGCAACAACAAAGCATGAAATAATAGAACAGATGACTTAATAATAGAAGCAGAAATGTTTACAGTTGTGATCTTGTAGGATTAAAAGCATTAGTTAATATTACTCAATTTCACATCAAATTAATGCTGATCTTGGGAATGTTTTAAATACTAGAAATTCTGTGCCAGCCTAACTTTTAAAAAAGAATTCTAGAGTTTCATTATTAAATACTCAATGCATCAAATTACAAGGAGAAACAGCCAGTGATTAAGCGTCCCATATTCAGAATTAAATGCACAGCTTAATCTTACTGATGACGTACATGATCAAAACAAGTCTCTACTAGTTTAGTTTTATAATTATGAACACTGCAATGTAGCCCGAATGTATTGTGACAAGTCCCAAAACCTTTTACATTTAATCCATTATGACAAATTTTGTAATTTCAAATACAGCTGTAGAAGCTAAATTTGGACTGTATTGGGAAAACATCTCAATGTGGTCCGACAACAGAATTGCCAAATCAGCCAAAATGTGATTGCAGGGGAAGACAGGAAATAAAGATTATCTTTATATTGCCCATTATTTTGGAGTCATTTGCGATATGTTGAATGTAATCTGTCCTTTTCAGTATCACTGGATATGTCCAAAATTGTTTACTGTTCCAGATTACAACTTTGTACCACAGGTAGTACAATAGAATTCATGTTTTCTTGTGCAATTTTATTAAAGTACGTGAACATACATGTGATCAGAGAGCATAACAACAGAAAGGCTGGTATAAAAGACTGCTAGAATAACACATGCATTTTACTTTTGATGTACAGACTACAATCTTCCTTCACAATATGGAAGCTCTGTGTTGCTTCTCCCAATGTAGGGTTTTAGGGTTTTAGGGTGCAAGTTTGCTCCAAAAAAAAAAAAAAAAAAAATTCTATTATGACAAGTTTTGACTGTTATGAAGCAGGAGTATAATTACAAGCAGCAGAGGCCAAGGACTTGCTGACAAAGAAGAAAGCAAAACAAATTTTAAGATCAATTTGCACTGTGATCCAGTCAGTCAGTGTAAGCTACCCTTGCTCAGCTGAAACATGTATAATGTGAAGAAAACTCAGCACAAAACAAATGTGTAAGTTGGATACAAGACGGATCTTTAGTCGTCAGAATTCTGAATTGATCATGAATTAGTACTTTCTCATTGATCAAACTAGGACTGCTGTTTGCAAAACAATGTTTCTCCATTTCTTACATCACAGCTGTGCTTACACGTCAGACATACTTCACTAGCTACAAAACACTTTGAGACATCCAGTGATTGTGCAAAGTGCTATACAAATAAGTCTCTCTTTTCTGGTCTATCTAAAATAGATGTTGTGCTAAAAGGAACTAGTGCGATTCACAGTGACTCAGCGGTTAGCCCTACTGCCTCACAGCATCGGGGTCACAGGTTCAATTCCACTCCCGGGGCAACTGTGTCTTGAATTTGCACATTCTGTGTGTCTGTGTGGGTTTCTTCCCACAGACCAAAGATGTGCAGATTAGGTGGATTGGCCATGCTTAGTTGTCGGTAGTGTCTAGGGGATGTGCAGGCTAGGTGGATTAGCTGTGGGAAATGCAAGGTTACGGGGGTTGGGCCTGGGTAGGAAGCTCTTCGCAGGGTAGGGGGTGACTTGATGGGCCAAATGAGCTCCTTCCACTCGATAGGATTCTATGAATTAAGGAAGTATTTCTGACTTTTTGCCTATCAAACAATGGAGTTAAGAGTTATCGTAAAATATTTTGGTGCGTTCTTAAACACACATTTTATGATGAAAACACTATTCTTTGTGGTATGACTCTTGTCTTTTGTAATCTTATAGAGTAAGGGAGCAGTATGTTATATCTTTTAGATCAACATTCAGATATTTTTGACAATAATGCAACATTTAACAGGCCAGTTTATAGTAAAGGGTTGCATTTTTTTAATGAAATATTATCTAATATTAATTTAGAAATACAAATGGAGTCCTAACATCACTTTCTACTTATCTGTTATGAATCACATATGTACTGTGCTGATAAAAGCTCCACTGCTTTAAGCACAGCAATCTTCAGGGTCAATGAAAGAGGCATCTTTGCTGTAAGAAAAAGGTTACAATGGTTACTGCTTGGCTTTTAAAATATTCACTATTAGCTTAACATTGTACAGTTAAAATCAGAGACATATGTAAAAGGCATTGGCTTATTTCTCAGGACAATCAGTTAATGTGACTACTAGCAACTGAATGCAAGATAACAAGCTTCAAAATATGTGTTTTTCCAGCAGTGTTTTATATATTTTGCTGACCTGCTCAACAAAATAGGTGACAGCCATTCTCTGGTTTATTTCTCAGGACAGTGCCTGGAGAGGGGAAAAAAAAGTCAACCTACTGGATTTAAAATTTAAACAAAGCTGGCAGTTAACTACCACTTAGGTAACTGTGTTCTCAATGGCAACACCTTTACTAACCAGAGCCCACTTGACAACCAATCAGCACTCTCCTCTCTCGCAGTACAAATGTTTGTTTTCCATTTTATTGGTATTTGTCAGGAAGTTGTTCTGACAGTGCAAAACAAAAAGCTCTGGCAAAACATATCTCCTTTTTCCAGCAATACTGAATTCTGTGCTATCATACAATTATTCATATGCCATGTTACAGAGCTACAAAACTCTTGTGCAGATTCAATTAACAAGAGTTCTGGCTTCTAATCATTACTCCAGAGCTGCACATGTATAACCTTTGGGTGAGAAAGCAAATACTCGAGTGTGATACCACCTATAATTAAGTAGACTGCACCACCTAATTTACATATTGAGATTTGAAAAAAAAAAAATGCCTACAAGTCTTGTGTGTTTGGTTAAGAAATCAAGACCAGGATCAGAAAAATAATATCAACCAATCAACTTCGATGCTTTTTTAGGTCAGTGCGAAAAATCATAATATTAAGATCTTTAAAAGTTGCTCTAAAAAAGGGTCAAATATTGCCTCATATGGCCTGATACTAAATTGTGTCTGGTTATGCTCCTGTGAAATAGAGGTGTTTTCCTTAAAAGCCTCAACATGAATGCAAGTAATTACATCAGAATCTGCAAATTACTAGTGTTTTTTGGAACAGTTTAAGTTTTACTCCAAGAGATACCTAAAACCAGCAAATGAAATCCTAAGCATAACATAGCTTATTTTAAAATAATAAATAAGAAATTAAATATCTACTTGTACACAATTCTTTATTTTAGAGACAGCAAGAACTGCAGATGCTGGAGTCAGAGTCAATACAGTATGGAGCTGGAGGAACATAGCAGGTCAGGCAGCATCGAAGGAGCAGGACCATTGGTGATTCGGGCCTAGACCCTTCATCAGTATAGGGTCTAGGCCCAAATAGTTGACTCTCCTGCTCCTCTGATGTTGCCTGACCTGCTGTGTTCCTCCAGCTCCACACTGTATTGACAATTGTATACTTGATCTGATCATGTCCAAAATTAAATTGTAATTAAACTATAAATCTACACACTAAACATTGAACAGAAGTTTTAAACGTGAAGGCAAATTTAAGTGTTCAGGCAGAGGACATTGATAATGGCATTGGACACTACATGTCGTTAGTTATCTTATGTATCAGTCATGTTCTGATACAGCCCACATGAGTTTTGCTCTCATCTAATGTCACACCTTGTTTTAAACTGAAAAACATTACTAAGTCAATAGAAATTCAATTTCTCTTAATATACTTGTACGTAGAATAAATTTAATGACAAATTAAACACTTTCTACACAAAAAAGTGTTCGAGATGACTGGGCCAATATCAGCTAATAATAGTACCGTGCACCTGTGTAATAGATCCATCTCAACAGAAACCAGCCCACACAATAACAATTGGCCTGATACAGGGTATTAAATACTGTACAAAACAGAACCACACAGTAAAAGAAATCACAACATAAATCAAAGAAAGGATAAATCAGGAAAAAGCAGAACACAGACAGACATTCTTGGGATATCAGAGTCAGGAGAACCAATCATAAATGAAAAAGGGCCTTAAAAACAAACAATTTCTTTTTTTAAAGCAATGTCACAAAGTGACAAAAATGCCAAGCACAAAAGACTAAGTGTAAGATTTAGAAATCATACACCATTAATTCTTAGAATTTCAGAATCATACAGCACAGAAGGCCATTTGGTCCATCATGTCTTTGCTGGCTGTATTGTAGAATTTTTCAATGAGTCTTATTTGCTTGCTTTCACCAAATGCTGCTCTCAAACCACCAATTTGCAATAGGTTTACCAAGATTATTTATCTAATTTTTTTTATCTAATTGGTTTCAATGTGAAATAAGCAATTGCAGTAAATAACACTGGAAAAAAAAAATCACTTTTATGCAATTTATTGATGTATCTAGCCTGTCCAGTGTCAGATGCTTTTCTTCAAAACAAAAAACCACGTCAGAAACGCAACAGCAGCAGGAAAATAAAACAAATGGTTTACACAAACAGTACTCATTAACACAGTATAGGTTTACAACAGCAAATGAATCATCCCTACCCAAAACACCAACAGCCCATATTTATAGCACTTACTTAATTTAAACCAATCTTCTGTCATCAATACATGAGTCAGCATTGGTTGAATCTGTAGAAAATAAAATTGTATACACTGCATTTAAATATTATTTTGCTTGTGCTTTGTTCCAATTCCTAAATTTCACAGTAACATGCAGAATATCAAAGCCTCCCCAGAAATAAATGCAGAATTTTGTACATTATCTCTAAACTTGACGAACTTTCTCTTCTGGTGAAATATTTTGTCCAATTATTGGATTCCATTTAAACATTTATTGCAATTTCTCATTCTGTATTCTAAAGCATAATAAAACCTAATTTGCCTTCACTCCATTAAAATAGGTTAAAACAGGTCTGCTTATTCTCAACAAGACATACTGAAGGCATTTAGCTATACTGTAACTCATTGCAGTAGGGAGGTCCAAAAGATGAAACAAGTGCAATTATCTCTTGCAAGGTATGAACTCGTTCCACCAAATCTTCTGCAGCACAAAATTCATCTTTGCCACTGGAGATACCACTGTCATTTCACACATTGTATATGATTGATTCTACTGAAGGTTAGAGGCTAAATGGACCATATGGCAACATGTTGCTTTCCATATGTTTACATGCCCGTCCATGCTTAACCATTTATTAAGCAACATCTGTATCCCATGTGCATCCTGTTACGCTTAATCGAAATCTGCTATTACTCAGTTAACTATTACGTAATTGACATAACTAATTATTGCAATAATATATAATGTTGGAGGCACGCACTTAATTATGCAATGGGTGTTATTTTTGATAAAATTCCCGATTAAAATTCAGCACTAGAAACAGCGGAGACGAACGGTGCCTATGATGCTACATCATATTCCAAAGTTATCACACTAAAGAATACAATACACTAGAAGAAATTTTTTTTTTTTTTAAAAAGCATTGAAAATAAATAACAATCATACTTCTAGGGAATAACCATGTAGCATGCGACAGGGTGAAATTTAATTACATTTCTGTTCCGTGGAAATATTTACACTGAAAATATACAATTTCAGTAAAGATTCTCCCTGTTCGTCAGGGTCTTGCCAATCAAGGTCAAGAACATAATTTATTTTAGAAAAAGAGAGAGATCTAAAAAAGAACACACGGCAAGACACACTCTTGGGTTTTAAACACACCATTCACAATAAGGCAATGAATCGCGGCACCTCTACTCACCCAAAACGGGGGAATTAGAAGCAGTGGAGGGTCTGGGGAGTGATCGGGACCGGGACCGGGACCGGGACTGGGACTGAGCTGGTGGCTACTCGGCCGACCTCCCTCGTGCCCGTTCCGAGTGGAACTCTCCGGGATAAAGGCTCCATTGTGAGCAGCCGCTCTGCCGCTCGCACTCCCTAACAAACTGCAAACCCCGTCACACTGGCGTCAATGGAGACAGGCTCCGTGACGCGGGCGCCGCGCGCTCACTGCCTGCGTCATTCTATAAATAGATACATTTGTTTCAATTACAGCCCAGCGCCTGACTGATGGCTTTTTCCATTGACGGCATGCAGCCAGTCCAAAAAAAAACTCCATACACACGGAAAGGGGATCCTCACAAATCACAGTACAATGGAAACACAGGCTCTATTACGTGTGTGATGATGCATTAGGATAACAGCGAATATTATCAAACAATCATTGTCCCAAATTAGAAGCAGATGAACAGATTAAATAATTCGGGCAGCTGCAAAGTTTCAATGGAGTATGCAAAACTCGTATTTCTTCGTTTCAGAGATATTACATTGTTGTGCCGCGTTCCTGCCCTGCAAGCAGTTCCAGCCAAACAACAAACTTGAAGTGGATCCACTTGTGCCATGCTTTCTATTGTTGTCTTTTTATGAGCCATGTCACTTTCGTTTCTAAATATGTTGTAATTGATATTCGTAATTTCGCAGATCAACCCTAGCAATTTGAATCGTTCATAAGCCTGAGGACTGATTCATTGTTCCCGCCCCTCCTTACAAATCTACTAAATGCCCAGTGTCGACAGGAAATTTGGAATTAAGTGCATTTCTTCTAAATACTAACCCCATCCTAATGCACATGAATTTACACTCATCTTAGGTGGAATTGGAGGAGGATATTAAAAAATTCTAGTCAATTTTATGGTATTTTTTGAGTGTCTCTAGATACTACAACTTGACTTAACTAGCAATTTTCCTAAGAGAATGACCTGAATAGTCATTCTTTCTCTCTTTGTAGAGTGCAATTAAATTAGAAACTTAGATGAGTGAGACAGGTAGGTTGAGCATTTATGCACTTACATGCCTAGAACAAACTTTGGTTTGTCTGAGATCTAGTTAATGGAAGACCTTGAAGGAGAGAGGTACTTTTGTTTTACAAATAAAATCAACTTCCATGATCATTGTCCCAGCAGGACATGCATATTTTTGTCGGAAAAATAAATATGTATGGATGTCTCTGTGGTATAATAGGCTTTCATATCCATAACAGCTCTTTGTGAAACTCTTTAGCATTACACAACGTCAGGAAAAAGGACCAGGGTAGACTATGAACAAAAACAAAGTTGCTGGAAAAGCTCAGCAGGCCTGGCAGCATCTGTGAAGGAAAAAAGGGTTAATGTTTCGGGTCCGGTGACCCTTCCTCAGAACTGGGGTAGACCATAACACTGTTCAAGCTGCTCTACCATTCAGTACGATTATGCTGAACTTGAGCTTCAACTCCATTTTCCTGCTCACTTCCAAATCCCTTGATTTCCTGACAGGCCAAAAGTCTCTAGCCCAGCATTAGATTTATTCAGTGATAGAATACCCACAATAGTCTGCTGTACAGAATTCTAAAGATTCACAAGTATTTGAATGAACAAATTTCTCCTGAAACTGTGCACCCTGTGCAACTGTTTTACCTTTCCCAGTCATTGGAAGGAACCAACCAGCATCTACTACGTTAATCTCTTCAGAATCTTGTGTGTGTCAATGTGATCACCACTTATTCTTCTAAACTTCAGATAATTTAGACTCCATTAACTAAGCCTCTTGTTTAAAGTTTTTGAGAAGATTTGTAGCTCGGGTTGTGGATGAGTTTGTAGACTTGCTCGCCAAGCCAGTGTGTTTGATTGCAGGAGTTTCATCAACCCGCTAGGTAACATCGTTAGTGTGTCTCCGGTGATGCATTAGTGTTCTGTCCTGCTTGTGGTTGGGGTGATTGGCATCACTTCCAGTTCTGTTTCTCGGTGGTTTGTATATCGGGTCCAGTTCAATGTGTTTGTTGATGGAGTTCCGGTTGGAATGCCAGGCCTCCAGGAATTCCCTGGCATTTTCTCTGTTTGGCTCGTGCTATTATTGATGTGTTGTCCCAGTCGAACCCGGAGATCAAACCCAGAAAAAGTACTCCTAGTCTGGACTCACCAAAGCCTTGCCCGATTCTAGCAAGACATTTCACTCTTATACCTGCAATAAAGACCAACATGAAAAATGTTCTGCTTTTCTGTTCTTATTAACAAAGTGAATAAACTCACACGTCCCCAACTGCCATACTGTTGCCCACTCACTTAACCTGTCTACATCTCTTTGCAGTCTCTTGGTACTCTCTTCAAACTTTACATTTCCACCTGAACATGTATCACCAGCAATCTTAGATGCATGACTGGGTCTTTCAAATAAATCATTAATATTACGTAGCACCTTTACAAAAAGATTGTCATGATAGTTGTGCACAATGAGAAAAGGTATTTGCAAACTTGAATGAGTGGAACAGGTTGCGCTGGCTTAATGGAATTTACAAAAGATGTGGTGCATAGACAAGGAAATCACAAACCTTCTGACATCAATATATTGATTTTTCACTTGCAGCCAGGTAGACAAGTGCTCTGATTCACAGACAGAGACCTCCTTCCACAAAATTCACTTGTGTTTTGGTAAATATGGCTGCTTACTTTAGTGCTTCTGGAATAGATCATACAAACTTTCAACCTGAATTTCCAGCAACGATGAGACCCTGGAACAATGAAAAGAGTGGTTACTGGTGACAAAGACTATTTGTTGACAACCTGGCTGATGATTCTGATGCACAGACATACTGCATACATGCTTTTCTATTGACTGCTTTATTGAAATCATCCTCTGAGTCCTTTGCGGTTCAGACTGTGTATTATCTTGTCCTCCAGTGAATTGACAATGGTGCTATCTTTGCTCCCTTTTTAATGGCTATAATAGATTCACGGTGTTTCACCACATTCCGATCTCATCTCTAATTTATCCTGTAAAATATACAATACGTCAGTATCTGAAGTGACATTGACATGAAGTTAAGTTACAGTGCTGTCTTCTTGCTGTTGCTCCACTGCCTTTTCATGTTGTACCTGTTGGGTACCTGGATGGAAAATGTTACAAAGGTCAGGTTGTGGGTGGAGTAGGGCGCAATTAAGAGTTATATGTTTATATCATCTGTAGCTGGCAAATCAGAAGGGAGTGTTTGATGGATGAAATTTTAATGTGAGGAGGAAGAGTGGATATAACAATGCCTTCACTTTTGATGATTATAACCCTGGCTCATGCTCTACCACTCTTACTAACGCCTGCAACATAAAACCATAACAAATAGGAACAGAGGTAGGCCCATTGAACCCCTCAAGCCTGCTCTACCTTTCAATAGCTGATCCAACCTTCCTCATGCCCACTTTCCTGCATTTTAACCATAACCCGTGATTCCTCTACTCATCAAGAATCTATCTATTATCTTCTCTCACTCACCGTCACACATCCCAGCCGGGAACACTACTAATCCTGCTGCCAACTCATTCGCTCATGACACCTCCCCACCTGCACTAAATATAACAGCTATGGCATCCACTTTTATCTTTTTTAATACGTGAGGCGATGCCCTCAGCATTGAATGTTCCATTAAGGTAGTTATTAACATCTGGAGGCAAATGGCCTTTTAACTGAATATTCTCAGACAGTAATAGTACAATACCGTCATACAGAATCATATCTATCAAGCAGCATCCCAGTTTTGTTCTTCACTATCCCTGAGGGTGTCCTTTCCCATGATAGAACAGACTAGTTTATGCTGGAATCAGGGGAAGTTGAGATTGCATGGGAGCGGCCACGAGAACCTTGACAATTGAATCTGGAAAACAATATGAAATAAATCATATAAATCATCTTGGTATGACTGTTACCAATCGCTCACTTAAGAGCTGGTACCCCTTCATGTTGAACGTTGCACAAAAGAAGCATTTAGGCTGAGAATGTACTCTATGTGAGTAGCTATGCAAAAAACAAAAAGCTGTGAACTGTGCTTTTATTTTTTGTAAATTATCCAAATGTAAATCCTCCACCTTGTATGATTCAAGTATTCATTTGATCACTCTGTAAAACAATCCAGTAGTCTTTGACTCAATCAGGGTTCAAATCCCACCAATGGCAGATGGTGGAATTTGAATTAAAGTTTTAAAAAATCTGGGATTAAGAGTCTAATAATGACCATGAAACCATTCCTAATTGTTGGGGGGGTAAAAAACCTATCTGTTTCACTACTGTCCATTAGAGAAGGAAATCTGCCATATTTACCCAATCTGGCCTACATGTGACTCCAGACCCACAGTAATGTGACTGACACCCAACTGCTCTCTGGGCAATTAGGGATGGGCAGTAAATACTGGCCTGGCCAGTAAGTCCATGTCCCATGAATGAATTTTTAAAAATATTCAGTATAGAAAAGCTCTGAGTAAAGAAATTACTCCACAAATTTAACTTTTTTTTGACAATTGATCACACCTCTTCACACTCTAACCAATAGAAATAGTCTTCATGACTGATTTTGAAATAACTCTATTATCTCAATTCTCAGCTAATACCCATAAACTAAGAGATTAGCTGGTGAGCACTTTTTTGGTGTGCTAAAAGTAGCTTCATAACTTATAAAAATGGACCTGGACAGCATACACACACTTGTGGGGTGAATTACACAAGATAACATATTCAGGAAGGTGTTAGCATGCACCTGGATCTCAGTACAAAGGTTTGCACAGCCAGCAAATCAAACATGCAACACTAATGTGAACCCACTACTTCATTCAGAAGCTCAATGTCTGGGTAACACTGTCACTTAATCTTGTACAGCTGAACATGCATTCTACAGCAGGAATGCCTACCTTCAGCCCAACCCATATTATTGTAGTTTAAAGAGAATATCAATGATTTACAGGTTAGTGGCTGGTCACTTACTTTGTGTTGCTTTTGTTGCTTTGGGTTTACAAGAAGTTTCAACAGCTGTTTCATGAATGCAAAAGCAGAGAAGGAATAGATTGTAGATGAAGAACATCAAAGGTTTTATGCAAACTGATTGCTTCCAGACATGAGTATATTAGTAATCATATCCCATGAAATGCAGGATGACTTGGAGAATGAATGGAGGCCCTGTAGAACATGACAAACTGGCTAGGCAGCATTTATTGCCCATCCCAAATTGCCCAGGGGACAGTTAAGAGTTAACAACATTGCTGTGGGTCTGGAGTCACATACAGGCCAGACTAGGTAAGGATAGCAGTTTCCTTCCCTAAAGGACATTAGTGAACCAGATAGGTTTTTCCAACAATCAATAATGGATTCACAGTCATTGTTAGACTCTTAATTCCAAATATTTATTGAATTCAAATTCCATCATCTGCCATGGTCGGATTTGAATCCAGGTCCCTGGAATGTTATGTGGATCTCTATTTAACAGTCCAGCAATAATACCACTAGGTCATTGTCTCCCCATGTCATGTTATGTCCTGACTCTCTGCTCCCATTGCCTTTTGATCGTTTACCTGATTGATTTTCTTCTCTGCAGATTCAAGATGTGTCACGTTATTTCCACCTTCTCTACCAAGAAGGCAAGTGCAATGTTCAAAAGCCTTGGAGCCTTTTCTCCTCTTTGCTATGTCCACAGTCTTTCTCAGGTGAGATTCCTTTCAGCCACGACTCCCAGGATCTACTCCAGCAACAATGTACCTCCTCTTTAAGAGGTGCAGGATAACCACTCATAATATTGGCCCTCTACTCAGGAATTCAATCAATCAACAAAAGTTCAGCACTGGATGACACAGAAATCATGATAATAAAGAACCAAGGCTGTGTATTTATTGCAATCAGATTCTTGCATCTGTTTTTGATATCTATCAAATTTAATCTCCATCGTGTCCCAGTTCCGGCATCTTCTGATGAATCTATAGCGTTTGGCTCCTTAGATGGCCAAACACATGACCATTGCTATTGGGAAGCACAAGGGTGGCAGATAAATGGGAACACATCCAGCTTCAAATTACCCTTCCAAGCCACGCACCATCCTCACTTGGAGATATTCATTCCTTCACTGTCACTGGGGAAAAGTCTTGGAACTCTCTCCCTAACTGTATTGCGCATATGCCTACATCAAATGAATTGCGGCAGTTCAAGAAGGCACCCCACCTTCTCAAGGACAATGAGGGATGGGTACTAAATGTTGTCCCAGCCAGTGACACCGCACATTCACTGAATGAATAAAAGAAAACACTCATTGAACATGTAATGGGCTTAATTTTTCAACACCAAAAGGGTCGAATGGAGGTTGATGAGGCCCAAAAATACCAGCACCAGAAGGGAGGCTGCGTGGGGATCAGCAGATCTACTTACCCTTGCAGGTGATATGATTATGTCAAAATGAAGCTTAATATCAATAATTATGGCAAACTTGAATTATCCAGTGGACCTCCATTTTCCTGAAACTGTTTGCAGATTGCATCATGGAGGTAGACTCAAAGGCTAGCCTTCCTGGCACACCAACAGGGTGTAGCTGCAGTGACAGGCCCCATGTAGATGGATTTCACCACCAGTCCTTCTTATCCTACACCACGAACACTAAGTCATGGCCTAGCTGAAATATTTATATTATAGTTTAAATTTTACAAAGCTCCATCTTGAAGTCACCCCTCAGTTACCCACTAACTTGATTGAGTTTTTTGAAGAGGTGACAAAGAAGATTGATGAAGGAAGAGCAGTTGATGTTGTCTATATGGACTTCAACAAGATGTTCAACAAGATCCGCATGGTAGACTGATAAGCAAAGTTAGATCACATGGAATCCAGTGGGAGCTAGCCAATTGGATTTAAAACTGGCTTGAAGGTCAGAGACAGAGGGTGGTGGTAGATCTTTGTTTTTTGACTGGAGGCCTATTACCAGTGGTGCACCACAAGAATTGGTACTGGATCACTTTATTTCGCCAACAACATAAATGATTTGGATGGGAACATAGGAGGTATAGTTAGTAAGTTTGCAGATGACACCAAAATTGGTAGTGTAGTGCACAGTGAAGATGCTTATCTCAGAGTACAATGGGGCCTTGATCATATGGGCCTTTGGGCCGAGGAATGGCAGATGGAGTTTAATTTAGATAAATGTGAGGTGTTGCGTTTTGGAAAGGCAAACCAAAGCAGAACTTATACAGTTAATGGTAGAGACTTGTGGAATGTTGTCGAACAAAGAGACTTAGGGGTTCAGATGCATAGTTCCTTCAAAGTGGAGTGTCAAGTAGACAGGTCGTGAAGAAGGCATTTGGCACGATTGCCGTTATTGGTCAGTGCATTGAGTATTAGAGTTGGGAGGTCATGCTGCGGCTGTATGGGACATTATTATGGACACTTTTGGAATACTGTGTGGAATTCCAGTCTCCCAGCTATAGCAAAGATGTTGTTAAACTTGAAAGGTTTCAGGAAAGATTTACAAGGATGTTGCTGGTGTTGAAGGGTTTGAGCTATAGGAAGAGGCTGAATAGGCTGGGGCTATTTTCTCTGGAGTGTTGGAGGCTGAGGGGGTGACCTTATGGAGGTTTATAAAATCATGAGGGGCAAGGATAGGGTGAATAGTCAAGGTTCCTTTCCCAAGATAGGGGAGTCCAAAACTAGACAGCACAGGTTTAAGTTCAAAGGGCTAAGATTTAAAACGGACCTGAGGGGTAACCTTTTCACTCAGACGGTGGCGCATTTTTGGAATCAACTATTAGAGAACGTGATGGAGACTGGTACAATTACAACATTTAAAAGGCATCTGGATGGGTAGATGGAAAGGAAAGGTTTAGAGGGATATGGGCCAAAGGATATCTGATCGGAATGGGGAAGTTGGGTCTGTTTCCATGCTGTATAACTCTATGACTATGACTCTACGACTTACCATCCATTGCAGGTTACTGATCCTTTCAAACTGGATGCCCTCGAGGGCCCACTCCCACCTCAGCTGGAGAATGAACATATCTCCAGGACAATTAGGGCCTGCGAAAATCTTAAAGAGTGAATGTTTCCCTTGAGAGCATGTTTGGGATCTGGGAGCAGTTTCTGTTCTCGTCAGGGAAAATCTCAGCCAATGTCTTAAAATTCCAGAATAAGGTACCAAAAATTGCACACAATAACATAACTAGTCAACTTAACATGTTGTCTTGTACAAATAAATTCAAATTGTTTTGTTTTTGCACTCTGCCCATTTATAAATTGAGTTACACTAATTCATAAGCAATAGAATGTAACTGGGCATATAGTAGTTCATAACTGAATAAGTCTATTTATAAAAATTAATACCAGTCATTTGCACATGGAAAATATGTTTTGCAGAAGTCTGAACTGATTTACATTTTATGTTATTATATTGTTATGTCATGTTATCCCTTTCACTGAGCGATCTTTTCACAAAACTCCTCCTCAAAGAGGCACTATTACCCTCTTTCATGGGAACACTCTTCTTCTACTATTTTATAGAAGCAGGCTTACTCTTTCTGTTCAGTTAATCTTGTCCCCATCCCTCAGTGACCACTCTCTAGTCCTGATACTTCACATTGCTGCCCCAACTCTTGATTTTACCTGCATGTAATTTTGTTCTGGGAATGAACACTCCACCAGCAGCATACACTGCAAGAACTGACTTGTCACAACAAATAGAAAAACTGCTTATGTAAGTGATAGTGTTCCTGAGACTCAAAAACTGACACCAGCTTTGTATACATCACTGTAGGAACCTTAACTTAGCTTCACATTAGCATAAAACCCCAAATAGCATCACAAGTATACCAACAAAACTCCAAACAGAGATGGCACTGACAATGATTGTTTATAGTGGTGTACTTTAGGTATGTCTGCCTACGCTGGTTAAAAGGCACTGATGAGGAAATGTAATTGAAACTATGTCATACAAACTGTGAAGCAAGTACTATTGTAAATTGTGTGTAAATATTACTTATAGATATAACTCTCTCCATGACTGTACATATAAGATAGTTAATGTGGATGGCTTTTTAAAATGGTCTTTTGTTCTCAATCTAGTTTTATCTTGGAAGGGTATTTCTTTGACCAGTAAGGAACAATAATTGCTTGAATACTAGCAACACTGAAAACAAGATTTGTTAATACTTTGATCAGATTACTTCAAATAAACATGACCTGAAATAAAATACTGTGTGCTATATTTGTAAAATTGCAATATAGTTTGCATGTAATTATTACACAAGGATTGGCAGATTTTCAAATTCCAAATATCACTGGCTTCTGCTCTATCTCAGTATGAGTGTAGTAGTCAAATGCACCAATTCGTTTTGGGAAATATATCTTGAGAACTTTCCCCTGCATTTAAAATCAGAAAACGCTAGAATCAAGCAGATCTGTCAGAATCTGAAAAGAGTAAAATTGTTTAACTCTTCATGTGTAAACCTTTGGCAGTAGTTTTCTTTCCTCTTTTCTGGAGTTTACCGATTAAGGGACATTTGCAGTATGGCAATAAATTAAGTCATATGAAAAATATAGGCTCATCTTTGTTTTCAAATTAGCTTGCTTAGCAGAGGAGATACTTTTGACCATTGATCTTGATAATTCTCTTTATCGGCAGGCCAGGTCTTACCTGTCTTGAGACATATGTTGATCTTTCAAAGGACTAACTGTGAAATTGGAGGTTTTGATGGAACTAAGGCAAAGAACTGTAACACAAGAAAGACAGGGCTGAGCATGCAGCCTCAGCTTAGATTCTTAACATTATGGGCAGAACAGATTGGATGGAAGTTGACGTGTCTAATTATATATTTTTTGATTCTGGCTGAAGTGAAAACCAAATAGAAACTGGTACTTGCCACTCATTCAGTGAGCAGTTCCTTTTCAAGGTACTATAAAAGGAAGAACCGTGAGGTGAAAGCAGATAATGCAAAGCATTTCTGAACAATCAACAACTAATGTGAGAACAATTTATGATATAGTACCTCATAATGTCAAGAAGGACACAATAGGCTAAAGGGCCTTTTTCCATGCTGTGAAAATGACTCTATGACTGTCACGTTTTGTAGGGGGACAACAATATTAAGTTATCAGTGTTTGCTACACTTGGATAAAATATCCCAGAACATTAAACAAATAATCGAGTGATGTCAGATGGCCAATGACTTATGAAATAATGAAACTATATTATCGGGGAGAAGGGACTGGAGCGTTATAAATATATGCAACAAACCTTGCACATTAACAGAGACCCTCAAGACCACAAACGATTTTTTGTATGTAATAGCAGTGGGGAAAAATAAATTAGAGATAGAATAAAGCCCAATAATTGAAGTTAGGTCCCTGTCCACTTCTGCATGCCCATACAATGATGATCAATTTTAGGGATCAATATCTCGAGTGAGATAGGGACACCTGTAGATTTCTGAAGGAAACAGCTAAAGAGGAGAAACACAAAATTTAATTAGGTTGGTTACATGCTCATACATACAACTTGGGTCTTGAAAGTGGCAACCAAATCTATGATCCAAGCCTGGTCAAAAGGTGGAGCATATTGTCTGATATGTGCCAAATAGTTTTTTCTTTCAATCATGGAATGCAAGTGTTGCTGGCTGGGCCAGCATTTATTGCCCATCTCTGGTTGCCCTTGAGAAGGTAGTGGTGAGCTGTCTTTTTGAACCACTGCAGTCCATTTTGTGCAGGTAGACCCATAATGTTTTTGGGAAGGGAGTCCCTAATTATTGAATTCACCAGGGTGTGGACCAGACATAAACAGGATTGCAGGGAGGCAGAGGTACAACTAATTGTGATTCCTGGTGAAGAATACCAGGCCCACTGGGTCCAGGGTACAGCAGTACCCTGTCATACCAGAAGGAAACAAAGCAGTTGAGGAAATAACTAAAGAATTTGTGGAAATAAGTGAACTTCAAATAACAACTTCCACAACTATTTCAACATGTCATCAATATTGAAACTGGATGAAATGTATAGATTGATCGTTGATTACACAGCTCTGAAAAAAAACCATGCAATTATATCCTATTTTTGGAGTTCTGATACAAGCTTTAATGGACAAGGCTTACATTATGGAATATTCACATTTTTATATATCACCAACAGCTTCTGGGTTATTCCTTTGGCTCCAGAGTCGCAGCATAAATTTGCTTTCATTGTTGTGGAAAGGCAATGCTCATTAACTCATGTTCCACTGGGATTCCGCAACAGTCCATGTATACTGCATCTTGCAATGAACTGAGTCCTGGCAACTATGAAAGTACTGTCTTTTAGTATGCAGATAATCTCCTGCTGTCATCTAAGATTGAGGACAGGCGTTATGGAGCTCTAGTGTGTATGTTAGTGGTGCTTCAAGGGCCTAGAATTAAAATTAACCATAAGAAAGTACAGTTTGGAAATTGGTCGTTCAATATCTGGGACATACTGTTCCCCAAGAATATTGGTCAACATCAGCCAATTGATAATGCCGCCATCGTCAGCACTTACCAACCTGTGAACATGAGGGGAGTCAGGAAAATTTTAGGATTCTTTAATTATTGCTGGATTTTTAGCCTTAATTTCACATATGGTAGAGCCCATAAAGCTTTGGTGAAGGAAAGGCTTACCCTCTTAAACTGTGAGAAGGATCATGAAGGGGAATGCACAAAGATTAAACAGACTCTGGTCAGCACATGAGCCTTGGGATTCCCAGACATGCGCAGATCATTCTGTCTGTATTGGGATAATGATAGAGATCATTGCAGTTCTGATGCAGTGGCACAATGGTCAGAGATGTCCAGAGGCCTCATACTTCACCAAGGTTGCCCCTGCTGGGTGGCAACCTTGGATAATGCAGCTTGAGCAGTGCAAATTTGTGAGCCAGCAGTGGTCATCAGGCAAATCATCCTATAAACCCATCATACTTTGATGGAATTGTTAAACACGGACAAGCTAAGATCAGTGTAAGATAGCAGAAGAGCCAATTGAGAAGCTGTCTTAATTGCCAAAGACAGGTCTGTGCAAGCAGTGCAAGATATGGGGATCAATGCCAGAGATCAGATATTGTCAGGGATGTTGCTCAACACTCTGAAATATTGGCTGAAGATAAAGAATATTGTGGAGTTAGAGGCATCCTTTTAGAAGGGGAAAAGGAGGAATTTTGGCTGAAGATTGTTGCAAAATCTTATGTTTTGCATTGATGTGGTGGCCTTTTCCATCATTGATGATGGGGATATTTGTGAAGCCCCTCCTCCAGTGATTTGTTTAATTATCCACCATTATTCTTAACTAGATGTGGAGGACAAATAGTGGCATTGCGTTAACAGTTAAAAGAACTGAAGTTCAAGATAAGGGAACAGCAGGTGATAATGAACAAGGAAAGGAGTGAGGGAAGCAAAAGGTTATGGGATGTGGCTTAGGTAGAAGGGAAGGTTAGTGTAAAGAGATCCTCTGACAAGCCCAAGGTGACAGGGGTCATATGAGATGATGATGCTAAATGCCATCTTTGTGAATCTGGATAAGGCAGGGATTGTAAGTGTTACCAGGACTAATTTGCTACCACATGTGTGGCAGTCAGGATTAGAGAGATAATGCTGCCAAGACCAATATCTGTATGTTGTTAATTGGCTTGGATGTAATGATATGCAATGTATTAATTTGTCTGCATATGTTACCATAAATGATTCTGACTTCTCAACCTTTCCCATTGTCTGAGGTGAGGTGACCTTAGATTAAACTGCCACCAGTTGTCCCTCTCTAATGAAGGAGTGGGATAATGGTGACTTTACCTTTCTATATTCCTCAATATCCAGGGTTATCAGACACTTTTTGTCTCACTCTTCTCCTTCACAGGAACATGTTGACCCTGTGAATTCACTATTTCCTTTTTGTAAGACTCCCACTGGTCCGATGTAAATTTTCCTACAAGTCACTACACCCAGTCCACTTTGACCAAAATCTGCCTTATTTTAACATCGGCATTCCCTCATTTCAAAACCTTTAATTCTGGTCCACCTTTGAAAGTTTCTTCCTAAAAAGGCAATGGAAGCAGAGTCTTTGAATATTTTTGTGGGTGAATAGATTCTATGCAAGCAATAGAGTGAACAGTTGTCAGGGGTAAAAACCAAAAGAACTGCTGATGCTGTAAATCAGGAGCAAAATCAAAGTTGCTGGAAAAGCTCAGCAGGTCTGGCAACATCTGTGAAGGAAGAAATCAGAGTTAACATTTCGGTCTGGTGACCTGTTCTGAGAAAGGGTCACCAGACCCGAAACGTTAACTCTGATTTTTTCTTCACAGAATCTGCCAGACCTGCTGAGCTTTTCCAAGAACTTGGTTATCAGGGGTAGGTGGACACGTTGATTTGAGATTGCAATCAGAACAGTTATGACCTTGTTAAATAGTGGAGTAGGCTCAAGGGACCAAATGGCCTACTCCTGTTCCTTGTTTATATGTTCCTATTTTATAAGGATTGGGTAGTTTACTTTTTTAGGTGGTGGAGCTTCTACAGCGATTGCATTCATCCATCCTCATAAGACTGTAGACAAAGTGCGTCATATACACCGTAGAATGAACCTCGAAGCCAAGGAGGTAAATGATCAGAATCTTGGGTTTCATCTGAAATATATATTCTAGATCTAGGACTCAGGTAAATACAGATGAAAAACATAGTTAATCAACTTCTCTTAAAGGTGGAGCTCAGTAGACAGCATTGCTCATCATTTTCGATATCTTTGACAGTAATATACTGGATGACATCAGTGTCAAATTTGTAAAATGTTAACAGAACTCTTTTGTGATGGAACAAAAGTGTGGCGTACAGGAATTTAGCAAGCTAGTTTTGAAAGGATCAAAATCAGGAATGGGATGTTTAGAATATTGAGGCTGACAGCAGAGGTGCAAGTCTCACCATGGGTACTAATGTCAGAACAGTACCCAAACCTCTGAAAAGTTACACAAATAAAAGTTAAAAACCAAAAGGACTGCAGATGCTGTAAACAGGAACAAAAACAAAGTTGCTAGAAAAGCTCAGATAACAAGGTGTAGAGCTGAATGAACACAGCAGGCCAAGCAGCATCAAAGGAGCCGGAAGGCTGACGTTTCGGGCCTAGACCCTTCTTCAGAAAT